GGCCTATAAAATAAACACAATTTCTTTCTGTTGTGCAGTAGGCATTATTCATTACCAGTATGGTTTTGTTACCAAACATCAGCAACGTGACAGAAGTGTTCCAGCCTTCCTGTTCCCTTTCTGCAGACGTGAGCGTAGCAGTAACCCTACCTGACAGGTGCTCCCACATCCCCACCTTCAGACGCAGCTCGAGCAGCGAGGTGTCCAGCAGAGGCCGCATAAGCCAGCACCTATTAGCTGCTTCCTTTGATTCCCCAGCTACTGCTCAGGCAGCGCAGGATGCAGCCAAGGAGAAGCAGCATTAAAAACAATGACAAAAAATATTAGCCCTAACAGAGGTCAATAAGGTACTCTGAAGGGTTTTTCTGTTTCACTCACTGATTTTTGAAACAAACTGCCCTGGCAAGGTCTCAGAGGATTCCCTGCATCTTAAAACTAATTCGAAGTCTCTGCATAATTTCAGGAAGTTTAAAGAAATGCAGCACATGGATGAGATCCTCTTTAGATGGAAAGACAAAAAAGCAAGAGTAGTCAGAGATTGCCTTTTTCTGCTCTTATTTATTAGAATTCCAATTCTTTTTCTCTGTTCCCAAGTTCCTTTTTATTACAAAAAATACAACAATTTTTGAAGCTAATTGCACTTCACAAAGATAGTGTTAGCCTCCACTAGGACTTGGGATGCTATTTCTGTCTTTCCCAAAGCTAACAATTCTTTACATATTATTTTCAGCTGCCAAAACTGTCCGGGATAAGCTGGGTGGGGAGATCAGTTTGCAGCTATGTTCGTGACCGCGCATTTCTTTTCCTCACGCTAGTTATGTTCCAGATTCTTACATACAAACCCACTATTTTTCAAGTGAATGAATTTAGGGAGTTATAGTGCATGTCCTGCAGGACATGCATCAGTTTGCAAACCCATACATGAACACATACAGAGGAAGTCTTGGGCAACTCAGTAAGCTTTTTGGCTGCATACTCTTTGAAGCTCTGTTGTAGTTACACATGCCAAAAACTGAACCTTCAAGGAAGACTGAAATGAATTAAAACTAAATACAGAATATCTCAGAGGCTGGTATGCATCTCGGAGAGCCTCAAACGGCCAATGAACTTCAGCCTGCCCAGTCACTGTGCCATAATTGCATGGTTATGAACTTTTACTAGTTAATTGCTCCCTTCCAACCTGCCCAGTTTTTAAATCATCACAGGCCTGTTTCCTCTTGCAGCGAAGCCAAGGCTATGCTCCAGCTGCTGCTGCTGGCACGCAGGGCAGGACCGCAACCCACTGCTTGTGCTACAAGCAGAAGGGAAGTCCGTGAAGAAAGGGGCCTTGCGGCTCCTGTTGACAAGTCTGCACCTAAAACATTCTCTGTTTCCATGCCCTGGATCCCAATATCCTTCCTGAGCGGGTTGTCTGGAAAGTCTGCGTGAAGAACTACAAAGGGATTTCTCAAAGCACAATAAAAAAAAAAAAGATAATGCTGAAATCCACTTCAGCTTTGAGGTTCCTAGTTGGACAGCATTGACTGTATTTCTCTAACAACAAGATATTTGCCTGAAATAATCCTTCAGGCAGGCACCAATTCCTCTGCTCTAAGGGAGGCACTGAGTCCTGATCTTGACTAAAACATTTAGAGTCTGTCAGAACATACCCACATGCCTAAGCAATAACTGGAGATACACCCTAGCAGTATCCTCGCCCTCAGTGAAGTACACAGGAGCAGTATCAAAGTGCTGGTTGTTATTACTGTGCAATACTTACATGAATCAGTACTACTTTGGACACAATTTTCCATTTTAGCGCTGATGTTGGTGGCTTACAAGAGGCATTTTTCTACAGTGGTGCTTGGCATTCCTACAGGAACTATAAAGGTGAGAAGTCATCACAGATATCTAAACAGCTTCGTGCGTGGAGTTCCTGCTGCCTTAAACACTGCTTGATCCCAAATGACTAACGGACTGGATTTATGTACCTTCCCTGTGAACTCCATGCTCCCGTGAAGCCAAGGAAACTTTTATTAAAATACTAGCACAATACAGTTACTTTTAGCTCTCAGTGCCAGCAAAATGAAGATTTCTACAGAGGATAATACTTCCCAGAAGATTAAATTGCAAAAACAACAAACCAGGAACGACTGAGAATCATACTAATCTCACAGAAAACTGGTACTGCCTTTCCAAAAATAAATTCCAGCTCCATACCTACCATTTCATACCCACAATCAAACGCAGGTGCAGCTGTACAACCACAATCAATGGCAGATACACACAGATGTGCAACTACCCGATTTGCAAACAAAGAACGCACATGTCAGTAGCATGGACGACCACATCTTCACTTCAAAGAGTTCAGTACTGTACTTTGGCAGGCAAAAACATACATGTGTTTGGGAGGCTCAGCAGTGCAAGAAACGATCACACACTCACTAATCAAAATCCAGCCGAGGCCTTCTTTGAAAATTTGGCCCTAAACGTTAAGCAGTGCCTGGGGGCTGATTAAAATTGACCTCTTCAGGGCATAGATCATGCAACACTAAGAAAACAAGCTTAAGAAACAGAAGCAAAGACTGCTGTTCTCTGCATCTTTATTGGTATGAAAACTCTTAAGACGCCAAACAAGGGGTGTGTTCGGGGGGAGACATTAATATCTGAAGGGAGAGATCAAAAGCAGTTAACGTTCCTGGCACTGCACTGTGGCATGTGTATCTTTATACTTTTAAACTTACAGTAAAAAAAGAGAAAAGAAAAAGGAAAAAAGTAAAAGAAAAAGGAAAAAAGGAAAAAAGAAACATTTCTTTGTTAAATCAAATATTGCCACATGTTACTCATTTTAAGTTTGCTGTCCTAAGATCCAACTTAATTTAGTCTGCATTTAACATTTTTGATCTGAACATTTAATGTGGCAATGTTTTGCTCTGCCAGGAATATTATCTGAATGTTAAACATGAACTCAATTTATTCATCAGAATATGGCAAGCATGATACCAAAGGTCATTTTGTTTATATTGTCCTCTAACTCCATAACTTATGGCCCGTTTCTTTCATCTTCAAACCTCAGAACACTCAACAATATTGGATGTTACAGTGTGGGTAAGAGAACTGGATTCACATTTTTTTGGAGCATTTTTATTTGGAACTGGGGGAAAGAAACAGCCTTGTTTAGCAGCAAGAAAAAGCACAGAAAATATGCAACATCTGCTACATTATGAACTGGTAACAGATCCTCCAGATAAGCTTGGGCTGGTATGAAGGATGTGTAAGAAGCTATACGCATTGCACTTCAACGTTCACAAGGCAGTTATAATTTTCCTGATTCTTTAAGTAGCTGCTGATCCCAGCCGCATCAGTATAAAACCACAACCACCACGCACACACAGTTTTCATGCAAAACATGGCCACAAAGCCCTCACAGAATCTGCGAGCCAAATTACGGTATTAATTACGCTAGCAGAACTTTATCACATGCACATGTTTCTTCACTGTTCAAAACTACCTTTGGCAGTAAGATTAGCGTAGAATTTGGTACCTCTTCCTTGGACAGCATCATACACTGATGTTATTGGCTAAGATGATTCCACCGCTGGAAGTGCTTGTCCCCTCCACCCCCATAACACCTCAAGGCAGCTTGAACCCAAAAGAATAGAACCACACAAAATGGATAAGCAGGTAGATGAAAGTAACGTTAACAGGAACATCTATATCAAAACAAGCTGAACAATTCTCATCCTGAAGTGACAGAAACATACTTCTATTCTTTACTATTTCTCATTACTCCTAAAGAATTATTGCAGAATTCTTCACCCCAGCGGCTGATAACTCAGTTTATTACTCCGTTTGTTCAGATGTGAAAATTTCTTTTGTTTTATTGAAGAGCCATTTCCCTGCTATTATACTGAACTGCTAGCACTTTCACACACTTGGTATTGGATATTACAAAAGCAATATTCATCTGCTAATGCACTATCAATAAAATTTGAAGAAATGGAGCTGATTATTGGTGCTTAGGCTTTTCAAATCCAGTCCATAGAAACATTCAATATGTTATTGATACTTCCCATCACAACACTCCTCTGAGCACTGTAAATGGGAGACTGAACTAAAATAAATGGATCAGATTTGACCAGAGGGAGCACCAAACCCAAAGCAAAAACAACTTAATGCCAAAGGGAGCCACCTCCAGAAACACTGTGCTGGCAGGAGGCAGGACAGGTGACATGATACAGACTTTTAGAAGTTCAACACTAATTCCAAGGCAATGCCCTTCCCAAAAGTCTCATCACATCCAGGTGGGGGGATGATCCAGAAAGGCATTTTCTGGACTGCAGGATTTTCTAAAGCCTGAAGCAAAATGGCTTATTCGGAGTTTCACCACAAGCCTGTCAAAAGCAGCAGGCACTGGACTAACTCTGCTTTCACTAAATCAGTTGTAATCTCAGCTCTGATTTCAGTGACGGCAGAATCAAGCCTCAGCTACCCCAAAGCATACACCCATAATGACAACTTCAAGCATTGAGGTCATGTTTTCAGTGCATGTATTAGCAGATCCCACAGTTACATTGCTCTTCTACAGTGTATACTTTATGCAAGTATTTAGTGACCCCAGCAGTTAGTTTTACTCAAAGGCTTACATTTTTAAATTACTAGACTTAAGGTGGTTGTACAATTTCAAAAGATATATGTATATATTTAGTGACAGACATACACAAGTGTGTTAATTGACAGAGTACCTTACTTACCTCCATAATGCATTCTTATGTTTTATATACAGGTAAGCTTCAAGAGTGCATTTCTTAATCCAATGAAATATTTATTAGATCGGAGATCTAAAGTGTACATATTCAATTTTTTATGCACACCTTTACATGATTCATGAAATTCACCCATAATGCGAGTTCTTTTCATTAAATTTTGTTTTTATGTATCATTGTTACCCTTTTTTAAAACCAGATTTATATTGAACTGACAAATATCATTCAGGTATCTTTGAACAAAGTAGCTCTTACCTTCTGAAAGAAATCACAGAGCTCTGGCACCAGCAGTAGATTTCTCTGTAAACAAACAAAGAAATAAATCACGGATAATGCTAAATTTGCAATGAAACAGAGTACATTTTACATGTGTTAGTTTTTTTTTTTTATTAAGAGTTACTTTAGAAACATGTTGGAGATGGCCAACACTACATGGAATATCAGGTATTAGAAAGAATATTCTGGATGTATATAGAAATTCATTGCTTTACTTAATCCAAGATAGATTTTGAATTGAAGACTTGGGTTTTCGATCAATTTTGCGTTCTCATATCTTAAAGGTCAAGCTAGATATTCAGTCAAAATATCACACTCCTAAAAAACAAAAGTTAGAGGAGCATTACATGTACAAGGGAATTACTGATCAGAGTAAGTCTGGCTACCAAGCTGTCTGTTTTTTTCACTTGCAGCTCAGGCAAGTTACAGGCTGTTGTCATCATTTTACAGCCTACAGCACGGAGGCTACCTCATGCAGAGGACAGAGGACTGCGAGCTCAGTATTGCTCACACAGCAATACCTGGCCTACAGCTGAGGGGTTTGGTTGAGCTACCTAGGGTAGTGCTCAGCAAGGCTGCCATGAAGGGCCCTCCGTCACTCCAGTATTTCTTCTGCTGTCTTTAGGAACAGCCACCGAACTACGGGTGTGATTCAGAAGTTACAACAAATGGGAAAATGTGTTACTCCTGTAGAAAACAGGAATGCAGCAGTGGATACCCCGCAAACTGGATACAAAGAGATTTTACACTGCTCAGCCAGCACTGTCAGGAGTGCAAAGCATTTATGTAAATAAACTATCTAGCAGTAAATCTAAAGATAGCTGACATCCCACATTAGTCTTTAAAAACCACCACAAGGCCTGGTTGTCCACGTTAAATGTCTCCTATGCACGTTCAACTCACACTGACTCAGTAGGAGACAAGGGCTTGGCACTTTGTATAATCTAGCCCTCAAAAATGCAAGAAACAAGGAAGAATTTACAGTGTCATTTTTCAAAGTCAGCTGAATGGCATAAGACTGCTGATACTACCTTACAGTGTCAAAAAATCCTAAGGAAAATGTTTTAAGATCCTAAACCATTTGAGGCACCAAATTGCACTACTTAATGCTAACTGCACCATGTATTTATTTTTGTTAAGAGAAAGAATACTTTTAAGTACTAACCCCAGCTACTGACCCTTTACATGAACAAATTCCTCAATTAACATTTGAATTGCTTCTTTTCCTTGATTTCAGAGGGAGGAAAAGAAAATCCAAACACCATCACTCTTTCCTTCACAGTTAAGGTCAACAGTTGCTCAAATGCAGTTTACAGGCAGAAGACAGAATGTCTGGTTTTGTTGTGAAAATGGATCTAGGAAACATCTCTCAGGCTGGAAGTCTAGTTGAGGTTCAAAACTAGCAAAAGAATTCTGCTATTTAATACCAACTCCTACCTACAGAAATGTGTAAACAGTGTATATATACATAAAAAAATACATGTTTTCTAGATGTTTAACTTTAAAAGTCAACCCGTTGAGATCAGGAGGGCTCAGAGGGACTCACTGTGCTCCCCAGTTCTGCCAGCAGCTTGCTCGCACTGCTCAAACAAAACCCATTTTCCCCTCGCTTCCTCTATTTCCTTATATGCAAAATGAGGATAAGCCTGTCCACCTTCATTGGTAAAGTGTGATGAAAATGAGCAGGTTCACAGCACAGCTGGTAACAGCCAGCCCACTGCCTCATGCAGGTGAATTGTCAATAACTTCTGCAAAGTCTGCTTTTGGGGATGGGCCTTAGCTTTATTTATTTATTTTAAGGGATGTGCCTTAGCTTTTTGATGCCTTCCTTAACTGTAGCAGTTCAGGAATATCATTAACTATAATATGCTGGTAAGGCATTTGTGCACTTTTCACTTGCTAACTACCACTAAATAGAACAGTAGAATCGCTGTAGTTATTTTATTGTTAGTCATATGTCTGACTGTATTAAAGAAAATTCTTCATTGTTCAGTGGCTTCACTTGGTCACCATTCCCCAAACTGGATGTAAACCCTTTTGCAACCCCTAAGCTAGCTGACTTTCCACCGCAGAAGGAATACTCTCCCCCTCAGGAACAAGAAATACCATTAGGACATCAAGGTTTTCTTCAACCTCCAGTTGGAGACAAGGAGAAAACTCCAAAGAAACCTGAAAAAGAGCATTCATTCCTCACGCTGAGCAAGCACACCTGCAGCCAGGCTAAGCCCTTTGTTTCGTTCTCACGAGATTCTTTGCGCAATTAAAGGTATCAGTACTCAGAGCTCCATCTCTGTGACACTGTCATTATGCCACAGGAGCAAATTGCCATTGATTCTCCACTGCATCTCCACGTAGTGACTCCAAAGGTGGGCAGAGGAGCTGACTTGCTCCTTCACCCTCACAAAGAAGGGATCACCCGAGAGGCATCCTTCACCCGAGGACGCAGGGTTAGCAGGCTGGTACATAGTCATGTTTTAGATTCATTTAGAAAAAAATGAACAAAACCCAACAAGATCTGTTGCCACTCTTGCTAGTTCAAAGCAAAAAAGCACTTAAACAATTCATAGTTTATAACAAGGCAGATCACAAAGAATAAAAGAAAATAAATGTTACATAAATCATGTAATCTCTTTCCCAATGCACTTCATTAAGAGCTTCAAAAGTAAATCAAAATAGCATTGCCAAAAAAAAAAGAAAAAGCTGAGATAATTAGATTTGTACAGCCAACAGTGACTTATCGTGCTAGCATTCCAAGACGTCTTGAAAATCCCACCAACAAATTTTGGCTAAGAGCATTACTAGAAAGAATCCTTCCCCTTTGAAGAACAGCTTAACACATGAGTAGCCCCTCCAGAGCATCTCCAAATACCACTCCATGCTGCTTTTGCTCTTTCCGTTTTGAAGCCCAAGGCACAATACATTCGGTTAAGCATCCAGGTAACAGAACAGATGAGCTGAGTTTGGGGCGAGCTGGGCACAGAACCTGGGGCCAGGCCCCATTCTGTTTCTAACAACCTGGCAAGGCAGGAGAGCACAGATTTTGTGCTTCCACTTATTCAAGAGAAGGGAAACATGCAGCGAGTGAAACCTGCTGGACTCGACACTTACTCACAGCCTTGGAGACTATGGATCTGCTTTGTTTTTTGCGCTTTAAAGTCACGGTAGATTCTTACAAGTTCAGTACAGCTGCGAGGTAGAGAAACTCAGACATGCCTCAGTAAGCAGCTACACACTTTAATAAGTTGCTACATCCTGTATACGATACAATATTTATGTGTCTTGGCATTTTTTAACTTCTCAGAAATTTCTACCAATGAAAATTTTAGCAATTTGCCTGTGCTCACCCAAAGTTTCTTTGATATTTGGCTGCAAACAGACCTCTTTTTCTCTGAATAGGTATGAGAGTAGTCTATAAAAAGCAGTATTTTTTTTCCAGGCTTCAAAAATCACGAGCTCTTTCTAATGCCAAACCTCTTTGAGTTCACTAACACAAGGCAGGAGACAACACAGGGAACGTGAACAGAGCCAGGAGGTGTCAGCCTCCCAGCACCTCTGCTGTGAGGGACACAGCAGGAACGTCCCTCACTCCAAGCCAAATACTTACATTTCTAGTGGAGTCAGATTCCCAGAGTCACTGGACTAAATCCTAGCTTCAGTAAGGACTTGGGAGTAAGGACCCCGAAAAGTTACTTAAAATGTCATTTCTCACTTCATAGGTGGAATTCCAACAAACAAAATGCAGCACGCTGGTGATGCCAATGGTCACGAGAGTCCAAATATTTTTACTGCATATATAAAAACGTCAACCCTAAATAATTTACTAGGAATTGCAAAGGCATGCAATACACACATCTGTATGCACACCATGACAGCCTTCTCATTTACTTTGTAGCATCAGTGGTTAGAGTTCAACTCAGTTACCCCCCTGAGCAAGACAGCTTCTTCACACACCTTGAGGAGAGCCACTAGTCCACCTCCCAGGAGGGCAAACTGTATCCTTAGAGAGGAAACAAGCTTACACCAATCATCCCAACATTAGCTCAGCTTTCAAATGCCAGAGGAAGAAGTTTGGAGCAACAGCCCAGATTCTAGGCTAATACATCAAGCCATGGCTTCAGAAACCTCTTCGGGACCACTGGAAAGTCCCTTGACCCTCTGGCTGTAAGGCAGTGTCAGTACTAGCACTGTTTCAGGAGACTGACCGAGCACTGGAACTTTTACAGGAACAGGATGCCCGGTAAGTACCTAACATTCACAGATGATATAAAAACATGAGAAAATGTAGAAGGCACTGATAACAAGGAGGTTTGTTTTTTTCTGTATACAACAACCAGGCATACAGAGACAGATGGAAAATGCTATTCTGAGGTTAGAGAAGACATCAGCAATTTCTCTTCAGAAGGGAAGACTATAAACATAATCCCAAGGGGAAGAACAGGCAGATAGGCAAATGAATAACTTAAGTCTTAATCAAACCAGAACACTAAAAACACTCGAGCAAGTTAAAGATGTGAAATCCTCCGTTTTAAGCTATTAAGAGTTCTTTAGAGTCTCCAAACCCACAGCCCAGATGCAACCATTTGTGCAGCCCTCTCTAGACAGAGCTACTTTATAGTTTGAGAGCAAGGTGATTAAAAAACCTCCCTTTGTCATCTGTAGCGGTGGAGTGTGCAAGGGAATACTATTTCTGATATTGTGCTGGAAACAAAGCACCAGTAGTGACAAATGAAGCCGAGGCCCAGCAGGTAGAGCAGAGGAAGCTAGCATGTGTCCTGCTTTAAAGTGCTTGGCCTTACGCTTTGTTGGTTGCCTTTGTACATTACCAAGTTCCGAGTAATTGCAGTTGCTCTTTACTGCTATAAAATAAGGAAAGCTTGTACCTTTCAGATATCAGGTGCTACAGAATAAGTCTGACATGCCAGCAAAGATAGCCAAATAATACAAGAATCAATTAATCATTTTTAAGCACAAGGCCTGCAAGGTTTCCTTTGAAGGATCATGTAATGCGGCGCTCACAAGTATTC